TCAATTGTATTTATTTTGTGTCTCTGGAAAATTGTGATCTGTGACATTTTATTAATTTATATATTAAAGTATTATGTGTCTATTTGTCTATGAGATTTGTATTTGTAGACATATTGATGTTTTTGTTAAATACAAAATATTGTTTTTATTTTGAAGTTCAATAAAAATACTGGGAAAAAATGCTGTAGGATTTACTTTATTCAGAAACAATTATTCAGAAATTGCTAGTACATTTCACAAATAATTACAAAAAAAATTACAAGCAACATTTATTTAAACATGAAAAAGTTTTTTTTTTGTAAAATGTACACCAATAATTTCTTTTTTTATTTTTCTTATTCTTTGATTGTTAAAATTATATTAATAAATGATAAAATGATTGATAATGAAAATTATATTTCAGATTAATCTCTTTTTCTGGGATTCTGCTTTGTCAGTTGTTGGTTATTCAAAACACAAATTTAAATAGAATGGCTAATTAAGAACTTTATATTAATTATTCTTTTACATTCTTACCACACGTAGGGATTTATCTTACCCTAGTACTATTTGAATGTTTTTACAATTTTTTTTTTTTTACTAAATTAGTAAATGTTTCTATTTATTACCCTTAGTAACACATTGACTAATGCAACCTAAATCTAAAAATGTTACAATTTAAAAATAAACACTTAGGCAATGTAAGGAGCGTCATGACGAGGAACGCTGACATTATATAACAACCATTCACAATGCATCAAGATTTCAGTCTCTCTCCATTTTGAGACTCAAGTATAGTCATCAAAATCATTAGATACACAAGTGTATCACCATATATGACTATTTTAATGGCCGTGCAATGTAAACACCACAAAGTATGGAAATTCATTAATATGGTAGGGGAATAATGTCAGCGTTCCTCGTCATGACGCTCCTTACATTGCCTGCATTCATCTATGAAGTGATTCACTCTTGCCATGAGAAATTCTATACGCCACATGGAGAAATGTTATGCAATAAGACGTGGGCCTGGATGGCGATGAAAGGGAGTATTGTTTGATGTTTTGGAGGAAGGTTATTAAACCATGCATGGTTGGCTTAATAACCTTCATCCAAAGGGAGCCGGAGTGGATCCAGTACTATGTCCCATCATTAGCTTTGACAGTCCATGGATAACACATGGATATCCTTTCCTCAGCAACTCGACTGGTCAAGTGTAAGAATGCCAAGATGGATGGAAGGCCCGGTAGCATTATTAAAGAGATTCAGCTTCCAAGTGTGTGGACAAGCCCCTGAGCGCTTCTCTGTGCAGATTAGCTGCTTGATTGTGTTGACCTTGCCTGAATCAGAACATATGTGTAATAGGACATAAGGTGGACAAAGATGTGCATTTTACATCACACAAGAGTGACTGAACATGATAGGCCTATATGTGTGCAGCAGTGGCTTCATATACCATCAGAGAATCCAGAATACTTTTATCTACTTTTCCTACCTGACTGTTGTCAGTATGCTTGATGACTATATATATATATATATATATATATAGACATTTCTACATCTGCCGCAGAACTTTCTGTGAGATAATCATTGCTCATTGCTGCTAGTCTCGAAGAAATTACACACTGCACTTTTAGAGTGCCCCAACACACACTTTGCAGATCGTTTCTGTGCTCATGCGTCTATGTAAGTGTGCTCTAGCACAGCTGACAAATGCTTTTTGTCCCACAGTAGGTATACTATAGTCATCTCCCTGAGGCTAAAGTGGTGATTATGCATACGCGACTCCCCCATAAGCCCCTCTGAATGGAGACATAGGTGGTCTGGGCACTTTGTTGTACTCTGTCATTAACAGTCATTTTATATTATATTGTCTCCTTGCTCACATAACCTCCACCTGGATCATATAAGGCACTGGTGAGCTGTATGCATCTGTAATGTCATAGGCATTATCTTAATGCACAAAGACACACACAGGTGAGGAGATTTAGATGAAAACCCCTAAGTGAAAAATGAGCTGTCACAGAAATGGGAATGAAGGAACGTATCACATGAGGACCAAATACATTATAACACTCAGGATGTCTGGTTGTGTTTCCTCTGTGTCTACGATTAGCAGTCAGAGTAATGTTACTTTTCATCCAGATTGATGATTTATGTAACTGCTGTGAAATCATCCTAGTGTGAGAATCATATATCTAGTTCAGTCATGAAACACTAGATGGCACAGGCTGATAGGTCCTTTGCATGCAATCTGCTGTCAGTCACATCGATTATACATTGCATGAGATAATTGGCCTCTGCTGGATCTGTAGCCATTAGGGATGTAACGATTCACTCAACTCACGATTCGATTCGATTCGCGATTTTGATTTCACGATTCGATTCGATTCACGATAAATCGATTTTCAACCGGCTCGCAGTTAATCGTTACATCCCTAGTAGCCAATGAGATTGCTGGCTCATCATTAAAATATTCTGGTTCAGTGTTCACTGTAAGCTGGTCCAGCAGTGTGCCGTCAGAGTTCTTTTAAAACCCTCCACCTCCCCCAGTTCCACCTGTCTAGGTCTGCTACAGAATTTACGTATTCCTGTTCATGCAGGAGCAGCATATCTTACATGCAGGGACGTGCACAGACATTTTGAGGGGCAGGGGCTCAAGTGGAAAAAAGGGCACTTCTCATATTTATTTTAATTTTTTCTAAACAAAACGTTAAATATATGAAGGGTGTGCGATATTGACAAAAATATATCTCAATATTGTCTGGGATAACGATAATTAGATGATATTTTGCTGAGTGTGTTATTGTTTAAGGACTACCGTGGACAGCTGACTCCTAAAGTTTTTGATATTCAGCATATTCTGTGTGGTGATCAGTTCACAGCAAAGATAGAAATGAATCTTTTCCAATAAGTTTAAATTGATGTTTACCTTGTATGGGCATTTTTACCTTTATTAGCTGCATCTGAAGTGGCATTTAGATGCATTTACACACTGTTTAATGCAGGACATTAATGTATTTAACCTGCAGTTACAAATGCATTAATACTGTTTTGATATTTTAAACATAAAATGTTGAATACTGATTTTTTTAAATTATTTTAAAAAAATGAAAAGAAACTTTAAATGTGAAATTAAAACCGCCAGTAGGTGGCAGCAAGTCACTGTTAATAAGTGAGTCATTGCGAATTAACCGAATCATTTAAACGGTTGATTCATTCAGGAATGAAACAGCGTCATGTTGCTCAGAGACGCAAATTGGAATTATATTTGTTGGCAAAATAGAGTAAAAACAGTCAACATTGTTATAAATATATACATTTCTGCCTCCATATCTTGAATTTTGTGATCGTTCTAAATGCATTTTAATAAACTGAATCATGCAGTGAAAGAACGCGCACTGGTCTAACCTACTAGACTTCCTATTGCCTTAGCTAAACTTTAGCTAATTTACATGGTAGCTCTCTCATGAGTCATGGATGTTAGCAAGACAAATTAACTTTTTGTCTTTTGGATAATTAGCTGTAAATTCGAGGCACAGATAGCACAGGTGGTCTTTTGTTCATCACCATTCACCTCCACAGCAAGACAACCCATGCGTTCCATTTGGAAGGGCTCATCCCTATGCCCTAATCCCTTCAAAGGGTTTACCCTCTGGAGTGAGAGCTTCGAAGAGTTGAAGGGTGTAGGGGACCAAACAACTGTTTCTTGAAGTGCCCTTCAAGATACTAACACAATAATCTACAAGCAAATGCAAAAGTTTTTAAATAGATTTTTTTCCTCCCATCTCATATTTCATCACCACGTCTCATTAGGAGCTCTGTAAAAGTCATTGGGGTCCAGTGTTGTTTTGGACCCCATTACTTTCATTGTATGAATAAAAACAGTTCTTCCAAAACCTTGTTTTGTGTTAAGAAAGTTTGGAACAACTTGAGGGTGAGTAAATGATGACATAATATTCATTTTGGGGTGAACTGTCTCTCCATGTGGTGTGTCAGCTTTCTTTTTTCTTTTTTTATTATCCAAAAAATAACCTATTTGGATGCAGGAATAGTGCACTGTGAAACTGTCCGTATATGACTGTTAAACTTTTAGTGTAGTACTTCTATGATCAATTTAGTGTCTATGACATAAACATAATCATGTGCTTGAAAAAACAGTCGCTGTTCGTGTGAATATGAATGACTCTTTATATGAATGACTCAGTCAGCGGCAGTGCATTGCTGTTTTATTGTCATAAAATTAGTGTATCGAACAAACAAGTATCGCACACTTTCTGCTCAATGAAAATTTACATTTTTATATAACAGCTATCATATCTCTGATAGTGACTGTGGAGATACCCTTTTATGTCCTTGCAAAGTAATTGCTGTACACATAAACGTGTATGTGAGTGATATTAGCGTCTCGGTACGTATGGGACACGGAATCAGGGTTTATGATTCTAAAAGTACCACAGACAAGGTCCCCTAGAGCAGCTTTGGTGACGTGCCAGTTTAAATGCGGATGCTTGTTTGGCATGGGTTTACAAACTCGGATAGAAGCGCTTTTGGTTAGAGAGGATCTTTATTTTAATCAGAAATGTCAATTTAATCAAGCCGATGCATTATTGTATGTTTTATTTCCTAGTATGTCCATTACAAGGACATTGATGCCTTGTGTTGTATTACAAGAAAGACTCAGTGAAAGCCAGTCACATGATTTGATTTAAATACGATTTAAACTGCAATATACAGCTGCAATACCATTCAATGTAAAACTTTATAATCTTCTAGAAGATGCATCCAATCACAGAGCATTAGGCCGGGATGCATCTGTTTTTGATATTGCAACTTTCATCCGGATTGTATCAGATCATAAAGTCATGACTTCCATGACTGTGCCATGCAGGTGCTCTTTTTCCATTCCACTGAAGTTAGTCACTAAAAATACATCGGACCGTAATCTGCTTAAGTAAACCAGGAAGGAGCTCACAGCAGGGGCTCAGCGCTGCTTCACCAACAACACAAATAAACCCCTGCGATCTGGACGTTTAATCTAGTACCTGAGGTTGAGCTGTAACACAACTCACTATTGTGTGACCGGGTGATTTTTATGTTTGTCTTGTATGGTATTTCCTCTAGTGGTTAGAGGGTCTCGCCATGCCCAACTTACCCAATCTTAACAGCTTTGGCAAACTGTGCGGCTCCAGCCGCAGCGACGACTCTGTGGTGCTGGACCGGGTGAAGCGCAAGAACTCAGTTCGGAGAATGTCCATTATCGAAGATGGGAATGTGGCTGAGGTGCTCTACCTCATTCCCAAACAGTCCATGATGGAGCAGCTGCCTTTCGTGAACCCTAATGAGTATGTCATCCTGGAGAAAATGGCACCTCCTGACATGGGACCCGGTAAGGGAGGATAGAGAGTAGGAGAGATGATAGACTCATGCTAGTAGACACTTATTTGCTATCATAGAAAATATTTCCATTATGTTACTGCCTGTGTTATTGTACAGTTGTGTAGAATATTTTTTTTATATAAGAAAAATTGTTAAAGCTAAAATAAAATAAAAAAATAATTTAAGTAGTTATAATTTTAGAATTAAATTAAATTCTATTTTATTTAGAATAAAATAGTATTTTTAAGAGAGCAACAGTACAGAAAAATAATTGTATTAATGTTTTTTTCTTGTTAACCCCACTGTTTCTTAGGCATAAACTACAATACTTTGTAATATTTTACTTTATTTTATTTTATTATTATTTCATTTAATTATTTTGTAATTAGTACAAATTAATTTTAGTATGTACATTTTATTTTTAGTAAAATTATTTGTTTTAAAAATGTTTAGATATTTAGAAACAATTATGAAATTCTTAAAAAATTTTCCCCCAGTGAAATTAGTACAAATATTTTGAGTAATTTCTAAAATGAGCCAAAAACATTTTTATTGAAGGGATATTTTAGATTTTAGCAGAGCAGCAGTTACAAGTCATAGAGACCAAGTGATAGAGGGGCACAACAATTTGGGAAAGCACCGGGCCAAAAATGTAACGTATTACAAAATAATTGAGGAGATAAACAGAGATGCTGGTATTTGTGTTTATAAGGCAGTGGGATTTGAGGCTAATCTAAAGTCTGAGCTGGATCATAGCACTATCCCACTGGCAGGATTATGGCTGAAATGTGGACACATTCCTGACAAATCTTCCCATTAGTCTGCAGAGGTCTCTTTTTTTTACAATCACTCATCCTTATACCCCTTAAAATGCCATATACTGGTATTGTAAAAGTTTCATAATGTACTGTAGTTTTCAGCGGATTTGTCATTGCATCCCAGAGTAACATACTGACACATTTATTTATACAGTCTTAGGACATAACTTGTGTCTTAGTAGTAGGCTACACATATTTCTATTTGTGTGTAATCTAATCCACAATACTTTTGTTAAAACTAAACTCTGCTTTTGTTTTTGCAACAGTTATTTTCTAGAACGTATATAAATCCATTCTCATTAGTATGTTCATTGTAAGCTTGCATAATTCAGTGATTTCCAGATGCAGATGACATGTGTGGTCTTACTGGATGTTATGCTGCTTTATGTATGGAAATATCTGCTGTATATTTTGTATATATTTTGAGAACTGATGAAATGAGAGATTGGAAAGAGGTTCCTTATCTGCGTAGACGTGCATGGATGCATAAGCCTGACTGTTAATGTTTGGCACTTGTGCTCAGAGAGTGCCAGCTCATAGAAGGGAAACATACAGTGCATACAGTAATTATGGCTCCACTCAACCAATCAATCATTTATAGCCAAGTCAAGTCTGGATCCCCGCTGTGTAGCCCTTCAGGAAGTGGAAGTCAGAGATACCCTGAAGCCAAAAGGTGTCATAGTGTTATTCCTCTGTTCAACATGTGCTGCTTTTCCATAGCAGTACTGTACTGCAGACACTGTAAGGGTGTGGGTTTGTGTTTTTTGGACAAAATGGTTGGGAAAAATCACTTGAGATGAAAATCACTTTTTTTTTGGCCAGTAAGGAACCAACTGAAACATCCTAGCAACCTTCCTAGAACATGTTAGCAATCACATAGAAACACACGAAACCCCCTCAGAACATCAATATAGTTCAATAACTATTATTCGTTTCTATTCGCTGTCTTGTGTTTTAGAATGTCAGAGATATAAGAAAATTATGTTAGTTATTCTGAAACAAGCATTAAAGCATTCATAAAGTAGTCATAGTAGCATTTTGTGGTGTTGTACATATAAATGGAGAGTAATAACAGTGGTCTAGCTGTGTTCTTGTTGCTTTGGCTCAGTTCCTTCTCTTTGCTCTTGCTTGTTGACAAAATATTCAGCTGTTTTCTTCTTTCTAATGATATAATAGACTTTAAGTTCCTCTATTTATCCAACACCTGCTGTCTGTGGCCTTCTCATGCTGACACCCTCTGTCTCTCTCTCTCTCTCACACACACACACACACACACACACACACACATCCTCCCTTCTTTAAAATTCCGTTAATCTCCTTTAACCATATCAACCCATGTGCTGTTTCCTAGGCTATGGACACTTTTGGCCCTGTTGGCTGGTTTGTCTTTAACAGTGTTATTGCATGTTTATCTGAACCATAATTTTTCTAACCAACAAATGTAATTTCCAACACATCTCAATTTATGTATTGTGTGGAAATTACATTTTATATAATGGAGTATAATGAGTTGTGCATGAGCTAATTTCATAGCTAGCATTGTATCTCCTGAATACATAAAATTAAATAATATTTTCAATATATTTTTTGTATAATTTGGCTAAATTAAGGCTTTTTTAAATGACTCTTTGATTTACAAGTGATGTTAATCTTTGTAATTGTTTTCGTCACACAGTACACATCATATTTCAGCTGATCTTTACAGTTGTCTCCTTAGTAAACAAGTACACTAACTTTTGAAACTTTATTAGAGGCAAGATTGTTGGTTGTGATGGAAATCATGGCTGAGGGACAGCCACACTTTACATAGTTTATTTTAACAGATTGTTTAGATTATTATAATTAGAACATTTTAATGAAGTTTTTTTTTTTTTTTTAAAGAAAAGTCTGATTTGGGACCAGAATAAAATCAAATCTATATACAGTACAGTATAGCAAGATTTTCAAAAGTAGTATTTAAAAAAAATGTGTTTTAATATGACTTTTACATCTCAAAAAGATTTTAGTAAAAAAAAAAAAGTTGGTTTTGATGTAAAAGTGCCTGTAGTTGAAGAAACATCTATACATTTAAATGCAATGGGATACACTACCATTCAAATGTTTCAGGGTCAATAAGGGTCAGTAAGATTTAAATAAATGAACAAATAAATACATTTACTAAGCAAGTACACAATAAACTGATTAAAAGAGATTCTGTGCTTTTGAACTTTGTGCTTTTTAAAGAATCCGGAAAAAATTGATCAGTTTCCATAAAAAATATTTAGCAACCCAACCATTTTTACTTTGATAATAAAAATAAATATTTCTTAAACAGCAATATCAGCATATTTTAATAATTTCTGAATAATCACGTGACACTGAATTCTGACATAATAGCTGCTAAAAATTCAGCTTTGCCATCACAAGAATAAATCTTAAAGGGGTCATCGTATGCCCATTTTCCACAAGTTGATATGATTCTTCAGGGTCTTCATGAAAAGTCTGTAACAGTTTGGTTAAAATTTCTCAATGGTAGTGTAAAAAACACCTTTTTTACCCTGAAAAAAACAGCTCTTTTCAGAGCAAGCCGTTTTGTAGCATTTTCCTTTAAATGTTAATGAGCTCTGCTGACCCCGCCCCTCTCTTCCGAGCCGCTCTCACACATTTCAGTTCAAACAACTTGTAAAAGTGCATGTAGCATGCTATGACCCCTTTAAAGTACTGTATATTAAAATAGAAAACAGTTGTTTAATAAATCATACTAATAATCTCACAGCATTACTGTTTATACTGATTTTGATCAAATAAATGCAGCATTGGCAAGCATATAAGACTTTCAAAAACATTTAAAAAAATCTTACTGACCCCAAACTTTAGAACAGTATGTCTCAGTCTCACACAAAATACGGAGCTAAAAAAAAAGTGTATACACGTACCACCTCTTTTCTGCAAGTACCAAGACTTCTGGGTAATTCGTCAGAGCAGCCCCATTCTCTCAGTACACGCTATACCCCTAGTGACGCCACTGCACCGTTGTGAATATTAATAACGCCTCTCAATAAACTCCTCAATTCAATTGTCGGCCTAGTAATCCTATAATCTACAGCCATGACACGTGGATAGTCCGGAGAGAGACTAGCGGATCCCTCAAAGGCCAGCGATAGCATATCACAGTTTTCCTGTTTTACCTTACACATACAGTATACGTGGGTCAATGAAAGTGAGTTATATTCCAGCAAATTCATCTGCATCAAACAGGTTTGAGTTGTAAAAGCAGCAGTCAGCACTTCACTGAAATAAACACAGCTAATCAGAGCATGTGATGAACAATGGGAAGGAGACAATATGTATGTGTGTGAGAGAGAGAGAATAGGAAAGAATAGAAATGTGCAGTATATTAAACTGAGTCACATGTGCCCGTCCCCTCCATCTCTGTTTGAAGAATTTAAGGTGGTGTCTCGAACTGGGAGGGATTACGGCTGTGGAATCTGCATTTGTCACACACGGCAGCTGCAACCTGGTTATTTCAGAAGAGCCAGGGCAGAGTCCACAAGCACACACACACGGTATGCGTGTGTATGAGGAGAGGGGGGGCTGCTCGAGAAACGAAGACCAAGCCAGCAGTTGCTGAGCGGCTGCTTAGTTTGAGAGTGCGAGCTCTTTCAATCCGTTCCTCTGCTGTCATCTTGCCGTTGCCTTGCTCTCTCTCGCTCTCTCTCGCTCTCTCTTCCGTCGTCTCCTCACGTTTGGATCCAGTGGGGGAAGAAAGCAGGCAGGAGGAAGCAGCTCTCTCCCTCTGATCCTCCACATCAGAGCCCCAGCAGACACTGAGGAGCCAATGGTCATGGTGAAGGAGAAAGGTAGCATGGCATTTCACAGCACTGGGTGGGGACCAGGAGAGAGAGCTCATGCAGAGGGAGAAAACCAGGCCAGCATGTGGGAGATTTGCGTGCGTGTAGGAAGGACAGTTTGCTTCTTTAGAAGGATTGCGGTGTATAAAAATGAATGAGATACTACAGAAGGGAACATAGTGGTACTAGTGATTAACTGATTTATTGGACAGGGCGATTAATTGGTAGTCATTAAGCTATTCTGAGATTGTTGATAACTCTGCTTGATAGATTTCTCAACAGAAAGTAATATTTCACTAACGTTCGTTTGGAAATCTACCGACACTTTTGTCAATGGATAGTGTGCACATTTGTTTATTTTT